GTCGTGTAGACTGGTAGAAGTTTATCGACATTTCAGAGGTAATTGCTGTTGCCATCATCAGGGCGATTTTAAGCCGCGGGCGATACAACATCGCAGAAGATAGCCGCCATCTTCACGCTCTCCGCTGAAATAACCTAAAATCTTAACTTGATAAAATGCTGTTATGTCTTGATAGAGACACGTCTCAAAGTCACAATTTGACGTTGGACACAACCGATGAAATTTGCTTGTTTCATAGTCACAATTTGACATTGGACACAACCGATGAAATTTGCTTGTACTCCCAGTAGGAACTACGTAATGTTATAATCTACCAGGAGATTGAAGTACCCTGACATCTTACAGGAACAGAGGAACCTAACAGTTACACGTAAACTGAATTTATTTAAATTTTTTGAAATAATTTTCGAATTGTTGCTCTCCTGTGACGTAGTGCATGGAACGGACACACAAAAGGGATGGGAGATGAATGCAGGAGAATGAAGGAATTAATATAAAGATATAAAGAATTAACGAAAGGATGGATTAAGTGAGGGCTTAAAATACGAAAGAAATCATTCCCCGTTGAATTTCGACGGGAATTTTTATCATAAATATAGTGAATTGTACTGAAATAAACGTGGGTTACGCCGTTACGTGTAGCCGTATAATAACCAAGAATATATAACGTCTTGACGATTTCTAATTTATTTAACGCAGATTAAAACATTTATGACATTGCAGAGCATCGAATATCAGGATGATTCGTGAATAATTATTTTTAAAGTACGTACAAGGAAGCGGTCGAGGCCTAATTTAAAGTATTATTTCAGTAGTTGCCGGGAGATACTTAGAAAAATGACGGAAACCCTCAGTCAAGATAGTCGGTCTCCGAGTTGAGCTTTGAACTCAGGACATTAAGAATAGGGAGACACGCTAACCACTCGATGGAGACTTACCGAATTAAACTTGGGGTGCTAACCACTTCACTGTGACACTCGATGATGAGGGAGTCAACTTTATAAATGTCTGCCAATAGAAATTAAAAAATAATATTTCAAGGTCATTTCAAAATACAGCAATAACGCATGTGTATGATTTAGTGTTAGATAAATGAGCATATATTTTCGTGCGCCATAAAGAATGTTGTTTAAAATTCATTACAAAACTTTATTCGTCATGTTATTGAAAATGTTCCGCTTTAAGATATCACTCAGAATTCCGCGTAAGGTTTGCGAAAATTCTCGTCGGGGGAACAATTAGTCATTTTGTGACTTAAAGAGGTAATTTTTCATAAGAATACAGAGGCTTTAACGTACTTTACAGGAGAATTATATTTCTTGAGATATCTGATTCATTTGAGATTAATTGTATATTAGACTGAATGCAGTTTTTCATTAAACACATCAGAGTATGAAGAACGTAATCTTTTATGAAGTACTCGGGCAGCTCTGGAGAACATTGAATATCCATCAAATTCTATCATATTAATTTATCATATCATAAAGCGTCAAGGATTTACTGAAACGTCATACAATCTCTAATGGATATTCACAGCCTCCTATGGTCTTACCGAAGACAATGACGAACGTCATCTTGACAGTCTTTATCTTAGCCTTGGGAATGAGTCCCCTGGAACTAGCTCGCCTGGAAGACTGCTCGTCGAGGGAAACGTGCTCGCCATCTGCAAATCCAAGCACGAGAGACGTTAACACGTCTTCTTATGTTAATTTGACACATCTAATTCTCATATCCTCTGAGAATGTCAGAAATTAATCCCATTTACATACCAAACGTAAAGATTATTTTTGTTGAAATTTGTTCCTTTACATAAAACATTAAGCATTGGAATGAAGGAATCTGCCAAGACACGACAACGTTAAGATGTAACGGGGAGTGGAGTCAAAGCTCCACGCATTCTTAAACAAATTTAAGAATAAAATTAGTAATGTGTGTTTGTCAGTTACATTTTCACACAAAAATTATTTTCAAATAAATTCAAACATAATGCGACGGTAATTTTTTTTATATTTTATATGTAAACTATTAAATAATTACTAGATTCTTGCGTTCTATTATATTAGATACAATTTTTACGAATTAAAATTAAATTGTGTAGGATTTGAGGTTTTCACGGCGGTGAATATGACGATTTCTGTCTTCTGGGTTGTTGCGCTGTGTAGTCTGGTCGATGTTAACCAACGTTTCAGAGGTCATACTGCCTCCGTCATCAGAGTATGAAGATTTCTGTCTCCTGGGTTGTTGCGCTGTGTAGTCTGGTCGATGTTAACCAACGTTTCAGAGGTCATACTGCCTCCGTCATCAGAGTATGAAGATTTCTGTCTCCTGGGTTGTTGCGCTGTGTAGTCTGGTCGATGTTAACCAACGTTTCAGAGGTCATACTGCCTCCGTCATCAGAGTATGAAGATTTCTGTCTCCTGGGTTGTTGCGCTGTGTAGTCTGGTCGATGTTAACCAACGTTTCAGAGGTCATACTGCCTCCGTCATCAGAGTATGAAGATTTCTGTCTCCTGGGTTGTTGCGCTGTGTAGTCTGGTAGACGTTTACCGACGTTTCAGAGGTCCTTGCTGCCTCCATCTTTAGGGTTATCAGTCGCCCTGATGATGGAGGCACTTCTACCAGACAACAAGGCGCAACTACCCAGAAGACAGAAATCTTCACAGCAAGTGATCATCGTTGTTAAGTAGCGAGTGGGAGGGAAAGATTTAATAATTAGGACTCACTTTTCATGTGACGTCCTTTCCTTGGACCTGGTGTGAGTATCTTGCTTTTGCTCCAGATGGTTAGTACGATGACGGTGTAGCAGGCCGTTATGATGAACGCAGGGACTATGAAGACGGTAACCGCTACGAGCGTCATGTACAGTTGCCACTGCCACTGGTGGGGGAACTCGATCCAGCATTGGGTCGCTTCTGTAGCGTCAACATTGAGTGAAGTTAGCATTTTCAGAAACTTTCGCGTAAAATAAACAACGCAGTTCTTCTTGAGAAGATTCTGGTACACGAATACAAGAAATACACCGCAATTTATGGAAATATAATGTTCATTACAGTGATAAGAAGAGTAATGCAGTAATCCTGAGCCAGATAAATAAAATACACACCCTTAAATCGTATTTCTCAAAGGTACATTTTAATATTATCATCCAAAGAAATGAATAAGCATGATTAAAAATTAATATTTCACGTATTGCAGACGTAAATAGAATGTTCATTACAGTGATAAGAAGAGTAATCCAGTAATCCTGAACCAGATAAATAAAATACACACCCTTAAATCGTATTTCTCAAAGGTACATTTTAATATTATCATCCAAAGAAATGAATAAGCATGATTAAAAATTAATATTTCACGTATTGCAGACGTAAATAGAATGTTCATTACAGTGATAAGAAGAGTAATCCAGTAATCCTGAACCAGATAAATAAAATACACACCCTTAAATCGTATTTCTCAAAGGTACATTTTAATATTATCATCCAAAGAAATGAATAAGCATGATTAAAAATTAATATTTCACGTATTGCAGACGTAAATAGAATGTTCATTACAGTGATAAGAAGAGTAATCCAGTAATCCTGAACCAGATAAATAAAATACACACCCTTAAATCGTATTTCTCAAAGGTACATTTTAATATTATCATCCAAAGAAATGAATAAGCATGATTAAAAATTAATATTTCACGTATTGCAGACGTAATGATATTAAAATAATTTAATGGTAGGCCTATAATCACGGTTACAATACCTCTGATTAAAAGTTTACTCAATCCACATTAAAATATTTATTGATGTTAGCAGTTCAATACAATTCGACCGGATTAAGGAACACAAAATATCGCCGTGAACTAACAACACCCCACTCAGGTCACGTGATGTTATAACCTGCTCGTGCTAGTCCGTCAGTCGTCTTTCAACAATCGAAGCGCAAGGATGTCCTTTTCACAAGTGTAACGAGTGTCGATTGTCGAAAGTTGCCTGGTATCTCGTTCGTACCCTGTATAAACTTACGAGAAGAAGAAACACTGGACGCTTCACGATAAGCCGGATTCTAAACCAGTTTTAAGCTGTTCTGTGATATAAAGCTTTCATGGCGGCTAATATTAACAAAATCTTCTCGAGCTATCGGCCTTGTCGGTTAAAAACCACCGATAATTCTGGGATAATCTGCGTCCCCATGTTTTAAATTTTAAACTGATTTTAAAAATTAATTAACTGAAATATTTCCGAAAGCGAAGCAGTCGTGCACCATTCAACCCTTTACACCCCATTGGTAACTATATGTACCACCTGCTTTGACAATCAGTAAGTACGTATTTTTATATCTTCTTTTGATTCTCCGTGTTTACAGCGATAATTTCCTTAAATATAATTAACCACTTGATCTCTGTAATGGAGAAATGTTTTTTTTCCCTTTGAGGTCATGTTTAGACAGCGTCAGTTTCAAAGGGTTAAGATTAATTACATTAAAATTATGACGTAAGTGTTCTTAGTGCCATTAACTAAACAAACACGTCTTTATCTGTACCAGTTACGCTAACACAATCCATGTGCTTTTATTAATACGTCATAAGAACTTGTGTATACAAAAATCACGCACAAACTCTGTTCTGAAATATTCGTTGTCCTTAAGAACATTTCGCAAAGTAATATTACCTCGTCCCCATATCTTAGCTCCACGACATGAAACTGGAGGGAATGTTGATGAAGGTAAATGGCTACCTTCAAGATTTTATTTATTTATTTTATTTAGTGTTCTGTCTGACGACAGGTCCATATGAACAGGATCCTTCCATCCTTTTCTCGGACTGGGACCTGTTCATATACGTTCTTGGCAGATGATCCAGAAGTGGTTTGCCATTGCCATCTTCTGTGTGTGAATGGGATGCCACGGAAAAACCGGGGAAGCCCCCGGAGGAAAACCCCGTGTTGCCTA